CCCCCCCCCAGCCGATGAACTACAACGGCTATGATGCTTATGGCTCGAGTAGCCAATCCATCAGCCAACATGGTGACTACAACCACTATGGCCAATATAATTTTACCCATCAAGGTGGGCCTAACATCCAATATGACTCAAGTAGTCAATTTGGTAGCCAATATGACAGACACAACTACGTTGGCGGATTTGGTGGCCAATATGGTGGGCACAACTATGTTGGCGGATATGATGCTATGAACCAAAATAGTTTGAATGATCAAAATGGCTTTGGTGGCCAAACTAATCAAGTGGCATGGGGGCAATACACTTACCCAGGTGGCCAAAATAATCCGACCAATATCTATGATCAGCCTAATTATTATTCCCACCAAGCAGATCATCCAATTGGCTTTGGTGGCCAACATAATCTCAAGGTGGGTGAGATGCCATCTAGCGACCATACCTACATAGGGGAAGAATGTATAAATGAGATGACATCTAAGATGGAAGTTGAATTAAAAGAGTTTGTACAAACTTCCAATGAACTTCTCATCCAAGGTTTGCGTAGGATTTCATCTCGACTTAGCCAACTAGCCAAGGGGCAAACCCTCAACCCTAACCTTATTTCTCAATCACAAGAGGAAATTCCTGATATGGTTGCAATTAGACCACCCGTTCCACCTACCCCTCTAGGGAAAAATGAGGTTGGTAGAGAACGTGAGGGTGAGAAAGAGGTGGGCGAGATGACTTTAAAATCGAATATTCAAGGCAACCTTCCTATTGAGAATCTGACATTGGTTGAGGAAAATGACTCCACCCAAGGGGATGAGACCCAAAAGGTGGTCACCGATGATATGTGCAATATGGTCCAACCCAAGGCAACCATCTTAGGATGTAATGGCCTACGATCTAGTGAAGAAGAAGGTCGGAGCATGACTCAAGATGCAAAAATAATAGACATGATTGTAGGAGAAAAACCCGACATTGCGATACCACAATTGCAAGTGGTCAAGTTTATTGAGCCCCAGCCAAAGGCCAAGATTGGCCGACCAAATGGACTTGGGGGGCATGAAGGGTCGGCCAAAGTGATGGCTAGAAGTTATCCGGGTAGTTCTAGTCATCCTAGTATTTCAACCCATTGCCA